AGTTAATGTATCCTCCTTGAGTCAAAGACAGTAAATCATCTTTTAAGGTATTTGATTCGCTTTGCAATTTACTAATGTTTTCCATTCTGCACTCTGGCTTTCTCTCAACTGTTGGAGACTTTCTTCTTGTTTATTTACTTTCTCCTCCAACCACTGCTGTAGTCTCTCTTCTTGTTTCTTTTCTTTCTCCTCCAACCACTGCTGTAGTCTCTTATCTTGTTTCTTTTCTTTCTCCTCCAACCACTGCTGTAGTCGCTCTTCTTGTTTCTTTTCTTTCTCTTTCAACCACTGCTGTAGTCTCTTTTCTTGTTTCTTTTCTTTTTCCTCCAACAACTAGTGTAATCTCTCTTGTTTATTTTGCTGTTCAAGCTGCCACTGTTGCAGGTTTTCTTGCCACTGCTGTTGTCTCTCTTCTTGTTTCTTTTCTAGTTCTTTTTGTTTCTTTTGCTGTTCTTGTATTGCTGCTATCAAATCTGCTAGGTCGTAGTTTGATTTGCCATTTCGTGTTTCTATTTTTTTTCTTTTCCATCTCACTCTCTGACACCAATTTGTTACATCTCTGTGTTCGTTTGTTAATTTTCCGTAAAAATTATTTCCGAAAAACTTCAACGATACAAGTCCTTTCATAAATAAAACTAGTTTATTCTTTCTCAATACAACTTTGCAATACACTTAATTTCCACAGTCACTTTAACTTAAACACACGCTAGAATTCACAACAGTTCACGCACCTTACTTACGGCTTGACTCGACTATATGTCTCTGTCTGCAATTATCTCTCCACCATCACTTTATTTGCCGGTTTATATACGAGAACATAGCATGCCTAGAAAGGCCTAGAGTTGCGAGGAACAGTCACAATCTTTCTAGAACTCCAGCGCATGCTCCAAGCTTCGCGCAATTTCCACTGTCATAACAATAGTATTAGTTTTCATCAAACTACTATATCTCAAACATTTTATGATAATGTTTTTTGTTTTTTTTATGTTATGATAAATATGATTTTCTGTCTGTCTATCATGAGCCCCAATATGACAAATTAAAGTTATAATTTTGTGTTTCAGGTGCTGACATGGTAACCTGGATGATGAGAAACTTGGGCATAGAAGACCAAGGTACAAGTAAACTGTGGTTTGTATTGTAGTCCAAGAGAACAATTTTTTATTAAGAATCCATCAATAGTGGTAATTTAACACTCTGCTAAGGATAGGTTATTTTAAATGTTATTAACTTTTTGTGAGCAGCTCACTTTGTTGGGCTGAATATACTAGAACTCTGAATTTACTAAGTATGTCTTCATGAAATCTAGCAAGCAAGTAACAAACATTAAAATTTTGATGTACACAAAAAAATCATATTTCTTAATAAAGTGTTTTTACTAAAGATTCATCTGTGAATTTCTGAAGCCTTTAATGAGTTAATCTGAGTGAAAGACTACTTTCATGTTAAGAATAAGAATATTTATTTTCATCTGACAATTTTAATTGTTTAATTACATACCCTTTAGAATCCTCTGAAGAAATATTAAAAGTTTTATTGTTAAAACTTTATATTTTATCTATCATTTTGTTTACCCTAACATTAATTGTAGAGAAACTACATATGTACAGTTAAAAGTTGGAAATATGGCATGTTAGATATGCATGACTTTTCATTTTAAGTTTAATACTAGAGTATTAATTAGTTTATATAGTACAAACATTAAAGTAAGTTATTTTTAGAAGTGGTAGTTATGCAAGTTTTCTTACGTAACTGTTTATGAATCATTTTGTTGCATAGTTAAGTTGTTGTGAATTGACTTCAGGTTAACCTTCTGAATATTTCTTGTTGCATTAAGTGAGTATTGTTACATCATAATATCTCATAGCTTGTAGAAAGTTCTAGGCCTCAGTCAGGCAATATATATATAAGTGACAAACTTAGTGCAAGTAAGTAAGCTAAATCAATGAAAGCAAAAGTGGAAAAAATTAGGTTAGACTGCATGAATCTGAGTTTAACCATAAAGAGCATATAGTGGCGATTTCTAAAGTGGAAGTGTCACAGAGACAGAGGAGAATAATTTGTCTCGTCAAAAGGTGTTTTAAAGTAATTGAACCTGCCTGTGTGGACTACCAATAGGAAAAAAAAAGAATTATTTAAAGCTTCAGATGTGACTGTGATAACCAATAGTGTAACATATATTTGACTTGTTTTGAATATATTATTTTAAAACATGTGGATTGTGTGCTGTCCATTTATTTTTAAAATTTATCTCCAACAAGTCGGAGACACCTAAGGTAAAGAATCCTGGCCTATATAAAAATGACATTTGTCAAGCCAGCCAGAATTATACAGTGGTAAATGTCTGCATAAGAAGACATGAACAACAGTGGAAATAGACCTACAGCTGTAGTGGTGGCAAAAGTATTGTAGAGGTTACAACCACACTATATAACCATGTTGACTGACTTTGATAAATGGATCAAGAGAAGTGAGCAGCTTGGACTCAAAGACCTAGAAAGAGAGAAGAGTATTGACAGAAAAGAGAGGAAGAAAAGGAAATATAGAGAGAGAATAAGAGCACAAGTTGAGAAAAAGAAAAGGAGGGAGAGGTGAGACTAGAAATAAAGAGAATAAGTGCATAAATTGATATTGCCAAGCTCACCCAACAGAAAGATGAGGGACCCGAGAATAACAATGAGGTCAGGGCCACCTGAACCAAGCTACCCAAATTTGAATAACAGAAAGATGACATGGATGCTTTCCTGGAGAGTATGAAATACTTGCCCAAAACAGAACTGGAACAAAGGTGACTGTGAAGTCTGTCTCAGCTCCATTCTCACAGGAAAAGGCTTACAAGTGTATACTGGCAAGTTAGAAAGTGGCATTGCTGAAACAATATAAACTTATAAAAGAAGGTTTTCATCAGAAGTACAGAAAAGTAAAACACACTGGAGAAACTATTTCAGTTTGTAGCATGCCTATAGCAATACTTGTAAAATGGTGTGAAAATAGTTTTAAAGGACTGACAGATCTACTAATACAGTTCATGATCATGTGCTCAACTGACATGTCACTGTTCCTAAAGGAGAGAGTGCCAAAAAGCGTGGATGAGATGATCAAGTTGGCAGAACAGTATATGGAAGCCCATGGAGAGAGTATAACTGGCAAGTCCAAGAATAACCAGTTAATGTCAAAACCAGTGGGGGGGGGGGTGAACAGAAACAGGATACCACCAAAGGTGATAAAAACTTAACAGACAAAAGAGAGAAGAGATGCTATGCTTCTGAATGAGTGCAAGAAACAGGATACCACCAAAGGTGATAAAAACTTAACAGACAAATGAGAGAAGAGATGCTATGCTTCCGAATGAGTGCAAGTCTGTCACCAACAAGCAACAGCAGAAATTTCAACATAAAGCAGCTAGAGCTTACCTACAAAGATGGTGCTAGCAAGAAACATGAAAAGAGCAACTGTCACCATGATCCTGCTGCCAGAGGAAACAGAATAGAACAACATGTCAGATTCACCACAAGAAGGAAGTGCTATATCCATGCACAAATGATAGTCAGCTCAAGTTAGCAAATGGGTCAACAATGCCAGTGGTAATTGGAGCATGTGACAAATATTTAGAGGTGCCAACAAATCACAACATGCCAGTAGGTGAAGGCTATGTTGGAGACAATGTGAAGGTCCTATGAGACACTGGCTGCAACAGTAAGAGCCATTCTAGTATCTGATGACCAGATGATGGGCAAGGTACATCTGTGTGTGCTGATTGATGGGACAGTGAGAAAGTTTCCCATGTTATGAATAAAGATGGACACTCTATACTACGTGGGAGACATTGAGAGCATGTGTATAAAGGCACCCATCTATGACTTAATGATTGGAAATATACCAGGCAGTAAAGTTTGTAGGAACCAGACAGAAAGAAGACTGAACAAGCATCTTCAGTCACCACAAGAGCTCAAGAAAAGAAGAGTAAGTAAGACATCTAGCACTTTCAAGGCTCAAAAGAGACATCCCAAATGTAGGTCTGAAGGAAGCACGTAAGAAAGACCCTTCACTGCAGAAACTTTGGGACAGTATCAGGGAGAAAGTTGATCACAAAACCAAAGGGAAGAGGACTTACAGAATAGAGGATCAAATGGGAGTGCTGTACTGGATCTATCAAGGCAGTTCTGTTGGGGAAGTTAAGCAGATTATAGTACCAACAAAACACCAGACTCAAGTGTTGAAGTTGACTCATGAGTCAAATGTGGAAGAACACCTAGAAGCAAAGAAGATGGCAGACAAAATCACCAGCAACTTCCATTGGTCAGTGGTCATCAAGAATGTGACAAATGAGCCAAAAGAAGTCTTGGATTAAGTTCACTACTAGCATCTCTTCTACCACCAGTTCCAAAACTGTATGGGACAAGATTCGGAAAGTCACTGGGAGGTATGCTTCCCATCCCCTTTCCATCTTGATCTCCAATGGCCAGGAAGTTGCTGATGTCCAGAGCATTGCTGATGCTCTCGGCCAAAGCTTTTCTCGTGTTTCTAGCACTTCTGTTTCTACCCCTGCCTTCTTGGCCATAAAGTCTCGGGCAGAGCGATCGCCTCTTTCCTTTCGGGCTGATCGTCTCTATGATTATAATCACCCCTTTACAGTGGTGGAACTCAAACTTGCTTTTTATCGGTCTGGTAGTACATCGGTCGGACCTGATGATGTTCATTATGAGATGTTGTGCCATCTCTCTCCTGCCTCTCTTGCTATTCTTCTGGTTATTTTTAACTGGATCTGCCAGGAGCATATTTTTCCAGATGCTTGGTGCCAGGCTATTGTCCTCCCTTTCTCTAAACCTGGGAAGGACCCCAAGATTCCTTCTCATCATCCCATCGCTTTGACTAGTTGTCTTTG